GCACCAGATATATATGCGCCACACGGAAAATTGTCATTTCAGTTAGTTGTGTGAGGGCTATGATACTGCCCGTTTGTCCAGACCGAAGCAGGTTTTTATTACGTAAACGTGAATAATGACTGGGAAATAACAAATTACTTATGGGTAAAATAAACACAAATTTACATAAACCCAGGCGAAACGTTGGATATACTTCAAATTCATTCACTGGGAATTTATAAATATATTATTCCCATTTAATGTATTACATCAACTCGGCGCCCAAATACTGTGAAACTATTCGTTCTAATTTAGACGAAAGTTTTTATATACATAAACCCTCATTGTATTATTTAGTCAAAGTTTATTCAATAAAAACTCTGCCTGCAGCTCCTCCGGGGGTTACTACCGGTCCCAAGCCCGGGTAATGGAGGGTTGGGCATGGGGTTAGCGACCCCATCCCGTAAAAAATCAACTTGCTAAAAAACGCTAACCAGAAAAAATCATTCAAACCATTTAAACTCTGCCCTGGGAGTAGAAGGAATAATTATGACGTCTCACGATGAAAACCGAGTTCCTTCGGAAGTCATGAGGCCGATGCACCTTCTTACAACCAGAGCGACAATTTTTATAGGTACATGGAATGTCCGAACAATGTGGGAGACCGGAAGAGTCTTCCAAATTGCTGCAGAAATGAGAAAATACAACCTGGAAGTACTTGAAATCAGTGAAACACATTGGACACAGGTTGGACAACAAAGACTATCTTCAGGGGAACTTCTGTTATACTCCGGTCATGAAGAAGTAAATGCCCCACATACACAAGGAGTTGCATTGATGCTGTCCAGAAAAGCACAAAATGCACTTATTGGATGGGAATCTCATGGACCGAGGATCATCAAAGCCTCCTTCAGAACAAAGAGAGAGGGCATTACAATGAACGTCATCCAATGCTCTGCACCTACCAACGACTGCGATGAAGACGCTAAAGACCAATTCTACGATAGGCTGCAGTCGATCTTCGAGAAGTGCCCAACCAAGGACCTGACCTTTGTGATCGGAGATTTCAATGCCAAGGTTGGAAAGGACAACACTGGATACGAAGACTTCATGGGACGACATGGACTGGGAGAAATAAAACGAAAATGGTGAGAGATTTGCAAACCTATGTGCCTTCAATAAACTGGTCATAGATGGCACCATATTCCCACACAAAAACATACACAAAGCCACTTGGATTTCACCCGATCACACTACACAGAATCAAATCGACCATATCTGCATCAACAAAAAGTTCAGGAGGACGATGTGAGAACCAGAAAAGGAGCTGATATAGCATCCGATCATCATTTGCTGGTTGCCAAGATGAAACTAAAACTTAAGAAGCACTGGACAACGGCGCGGACAACATCACAAAAGTTTAATACGGCCTTTCTTCGAGATGCTGACAAATTCAACATAGCCCTCAGCAACAGGTTCCAGGCCTTTCATGACCTATTTAATGGAGAGGGAACTACCATGGAGAGCAACTGGAAAGGTATCAAGGAGGCAATCGTTTCAACATGTCAGGAGGTTCTGGGCCAAAAGAAGCACCATCACAAGGAATGGATCACTGTTGGTACACTGGATAATATTGAAGAAAGGAGGAACAAGAAGGCAGCAATCAATATCAGCCGAACAAGAGCAGAAAAAGCCAAGGCACAAGCCGAATACTCAGAGGCAAACAAGCAAGTGAAGAGGAGCATCAGAACTGACAAACGTAAATATGTGGAAGATTTAGCAATGACAGCGGAAAAGGCTGCAAGAGAGGGAAACATGAGACAACTGTATGATACAACAAAGAAACTTGCTGGAAATCACCGTAAACCAGAAAGACCAGTGAAAAGCAAGGAAGGCAAGGTAATCACCGACATTGAAAAACAACAAAACAAGTGGGTAGAACACTTCAAAGAACTCTTGAATCGACCAGCTCAACTGAACCCACCCAAAATCGAAGTAACACCCACAGACCTCTTCAGGAAGATTTGGTATGAAGAACAAGTACCAATAGACTGGAAGAAAGGACTTCTGATCGAGATACCAAAGAAATGCGATCTCAGCAAGTGCGACAACTACAGAGGCATCACTCTTCTCTCAATATCAGGAAAAGTATTCAACAGAATATTGTCAAACAGGATGAAGGATTCCGTAGACGCCCAACTTCAAGATAAACATGCTGGATATCGTAAGAATAGATCGTGTAAAGACCAAATCGCAACTCTACGTATCATTGTGGAACAATCAATCGAATGGAACTCATCACTCTACATCAACTCCATCGACTACCAGAAGGCATTTGATAGTGTGGACAGGACAACACTATGGAGGCTTCTTCGACACTACGGCGTGCCTGAGAAAATAGTCAATATCATACGGAACTCCTATGATGGACTAAACTGCCAAATCGTCCACGGAGGACAACTCACCGATTAATTCGAGGTAAAGACCGGTGTAAGGCGAGGTTGCTTACTCTCACCCTTTTTCTTTCTCCTGGTCATCGAATGGGGCATGAAGACGTCAACATCTGGAGGAAAGCACGGAATACAGTGGACAGGCATGATGCAGCTCGACGATTTAGACTTCGCGGATGATCTGGCTCTTCTATCACAAACGCAACAACAAATCCAGGAGAAAACGACCAGTGTAGTAGCAGTAGGCCTCGATAATAAACAAAGGGAAAAGCAAGACTCTCCGACACAATACAATATGCACCAATCAAATTACACTTGACGGAGAAGCCTTGGAGGATGTGGAAACCTTTACATATCTGGGCAGCATCATTGATGAACACGGTGGATCAGATGCAGATATGAGGGCGAGGATCGGCAAAGCAAGAGCAGTATATCTGCAACTGAAGAACATCTGGAACTCAAAACAATTGTCAACCAACACCATAATCAGAATTTTCAATACAAATGTCAAGACAGTTCTACTGTATGTGACGGAGACGTGGAGAACTACGAAAGCCATTATCCAGAAGATACAAGTGTTCATCAACAGCTGTCTACGCAAGATACTTCGGATCCGATGGCCAGACACTATCAGCAACAAGTTACTGTGGGAGACAACATACCAGATTCCAGCGGAGGAAGAAATCAGGAAGAAGCGCTGGAAGTGGATTGGGCACACTTTGAGGAAATCACCTAATTGTGTCTCAAGACAAGCCCTCACATGGAGTCCTGAAGGTCAAAGGAGAAGAGGAAGACCAAAGAACACATTACGCCGAGAAATTGAGACAGACATGAGAAGAATGAACAAAAAATGGATAGAACTAGAAAAGAAGGCCCAGGACAGAGTGGGTTGGAGAATGCTGGTCGGTGGCCTATGCTCCATTGGGAGTAACAGGCGTAAGTAAGTAAGTAAGTTATTCAATAAAACAAAAGTTGAACATTGATATTTAAACATTAAAAATTGATGATAATTTTAAAACGGAAAGAAATCGACACGTTGAAAAATCTCATGATAGGAAATAAACTGAAAAAATCTACGTAAACATTTTTTTCCTAAGTGAAACATAAATGATTGACAAAAGAAACATATCTATATGGTGATTAACCAGTTAGTCTACATATATATATATATATATATATATATATATATATATATAGGTCAATGCTCAAAAGCATTTCATTTGCCTACATATGGCGTGAATAGATAGCTGATAAAATTTACTTCAATTGTAAACTTTGTTATTTTATAATATATACAAAAAATGATATTGAAAAATACAACTAAACAACTTTATCTGACCATTTAAATCTGGTTAGAAGTATAGTGTTCAAACTTGTGACTAGAAGTTTACTTTATTTAACTAATGACTAATTATTCTATAGATCAGAGGGGGTTTTGTGGAGAATTTAGTATTTTCACAGTTGAAATCATGAGTCAATTGAAGCTAGACCACCATCGAAAACCTGGAAGCACTGGACGGCCGTTTCGTCCTATTATGGGACTCCTCAGCAGTGCGCATCCACGAACCCGCTCTCGCGAGCGAGATTCGAACCCAGGACCTACCAGTCTCGAGCCGAAGCCCTTAACCGATAGACCACTGAGCTGGCATCCAACGGTGTTAATGTCTAACTTCAACCAATCCACGATATTGAGCGACCGTTCACCAATTGTCCTCAGTGAGATGATATCTCTACAACAGACCTGGTAGAACTCCACTGGCCACTGCTTCCCACTAGAACTCAAGGAAATATCTCTTGAAGTCAGTCACTAGTGAGCATATGATTATTATTCTATGGTTATTTGAGTGTACTCGCCTCGGACCTACCGCAAATAGTGTGAAGACTAATCACATTCAAGTTGATTTTAATCTGATTCAAAGAGTTAGACAAATTATCACAAAAAAGTAACTAATTATAGAGTTTGTGGACTGGGCTTTAATGACTTGTGAAACTGTCACTTGGTTTCCCAAACTGGAATAGATGGAGAGTTCGAGCCTGAGACTGGGACATAAGAATATGTTTTAATTGTTGCACATCTAAAAAGCTGATATTTATAAATAACCATAGCAGTTCACCTTGAAATGAAATCATTAAAAGTCAATAAGCTTGTCAGGTAAAAGGGGAATAAAACATTAAGAAATACTTAACCTTGATATTATGAACTAGACAAACGATCGTGTTACTGCTAGCACTCATGATTACAAACACCCATGCTACCATAAATACTCTTCAGAAATCTATAACCGAATTTTCATTAAAGATAATCACTGAAATGCTCGTTTCAGAAACTAAATGATCAGATTGTGATCAACTTTGAATATTAGTCAAAAATAAATAGTTAATGAATAGTTAGATGCACTTTGTCTGGAACTGAACGAACCACTATAATCATGAAAATGTACCATGTTAAAAGACTTGAAATGATTGTGAAAGCTATAACTATATAAATAGAGAATAGAATTTGTAATAAACTATAAATTTAACAAAAGGCATACAAATGATAGTCAGGTTTTTAGTGATTATTGAACTTACCATCAACTAAAAGGTGATAGGTTATACTATCGTATCGCTCAGTTTTTAACTTGCTATCCAACAGACCGCATTGATAGAACCCTTGATCTTCAAAATTAAAATTTCGTATTAATAATTTAGTATGACTAGTCACAGTGGGCTGCACCAACCTGTATTTATCTATTTTGAGATAACGCAGAGAATAAAAACAGAATGAAAATAAAGCAAGTGAATAAAAAAAGTTTGGAAATCAAGACTATTTTACCTTAGGTGTTAAATAAACAATGTTAGGAATGGAAAATACATGTAGTAGACCTTATATGATAAGTAACACTAAAATATATTGATCTATTTTAGATTAATAAATACTATACAATAACTGCCCTAAGTTAAACGTAATTATGGTGTAAGGGAGTTCGTTACAGAGGGAACAACTAAATAATGCATTAAATTACATTGTTAAGCGACAGAGTATGGGTTCTTTCAAAGAATATGATACTACTTACAGATAGTTATCAGTGACCAGAAAATTTTTTTTGGTCTCCAAAGGAGCTTCTGTTTACAAAATCTCAAGCTAAAAATACGAAAACTTACCACATTGGCTTTATAAAATTTAGTTCAGAAGAAAATCTTACAAGAAGAACCCACAAACGAATGGTTAATTCGCCACACTGTGAGTAACGAAAGACCTGTCAATCATCCACAAATCGAGAACAATCCCGATCAACTAGGATGAAGACAGAAGACCGTTAAGTACAAAGAATAGCAAGATTCAGGTGATGCGAAATCACCGAAATTATTCTCCAAAAACGAATGATAGTGGTCCTAAAATTTAGGTATCCTTGTTTCGAATAATAAACACGTAATCAAATATAATCGTTAGCTCAATAGTGGTTAAGCTTAAAAGTGAACTTCCATGTGTTCCGATGAAAAGCTGTGACTTACTAAACGGGCAGTAAATCGGTAATTAACAGACTATGGTGAATAACAATCAGGCTATACCGCAAACTGGCTAAAATTTAAATTGTGGACCAATGAGTCTCGACAAAGTGATTTAGTGATATTATGCACATCACGTAAGACTCAAAGATCTATAGCTTAATATAACCGTGGAGTTTGCGACGCCTTTTCCGATAATGTCAGCCTGTAATGAAAAAGACAATCATAAAACCATACTTATCTACACAAAATGTTTAGATAAAAAAAACTATATATATATATATATATTTCTAATCAGGAAAACAAGTATTCTAAAAAAATGAAAAATTCACTTTTAATAAATATGAGAATAATTACACTACATTTTCTTGGCTGATGCTTTCTCATTTGGCATTTTCGCAACATAGATAATTTTAAATCTTTTTCTGCATGTAACGTCATGTCGTCATGTACACACGAACGATATTCAGAAACATACTGCATTGTACTCATATCTAATCCTTTAATATAGAAATCCCACAAATGTACACACTGAAAAACATGCTGTCATAAACAATATTTCATATATTAACCAAAATATTTGTAATGTATATGTTATTAGCGAGATATAGATTAGATTAAAGAATGTTCCGTGCAGGATTGTCTTAAGGTCTGGTGATTGGCCATTTCTAGGCGAATCAGCGCTAGGGGATACTTGAAGAACACTCTAGAAACTTCTTGTGTAAATTTATAAATATTCTAACGTCCTTCTTCCATTCAACTTTGTTTATTTGGAATATAATTACGTTCTTGTTTAATCGTGTTCTGAGTTGGGAACTTGTTGAGTGAAGTAGTGATCAAGAGTACTAAGGAATAAGAGTAGCTAGATCGTAATACACGAGAACACGAAACATGCTTTTTAATAAAGCAAAAAAAACACAACTGGAATTATAAAAAAGACGCCTGATTATAAGATCCCAAGTAATAACACAATAACTACATGTATGAACAGTATTTAAATATTACAAACTTACTATCTGAAGAAACAGCAATTTTTGTGTTGTTAAAAGTAAAAAAGATTTGATCGGATAAATAGATTTTTTCCAAATTACAAGGAAGAATTGCGATACTCCCGAAATAATAAACCAGTTTTTGGCGAATAGATGTCTTCTCAGCTATTGGATATTAATTTGTAAGAAAAATTTTTATTAAACAAAACGAAACTTTACTAAAAAGTAAAGAAAATAACTAGCGTGGGAAAGTGTTTGAAGGGGTGGTTGTGGGATTAGGGAATATTCATCAGTAATAATCAAGATGGGGACTTCATATTCAAATGTACCATCAAGCCAAGTTAATTAACTAATGTACTCACAAAATAATATCAGTTTGGGATAATTAATATAAGTAATATATCCATTCCCAACTGTGCAGAGTATACCATAAACTCATTTCTATCACTATGAATCAAACTGATCTATGTCGTAAAATGATAGAACGTTTTCTAACTAAACATAAATAAAAATTTATGTAATTCTACTATTACATTATCTACATTAGAAAACAATGGTACATGAATAATTGTTATACTATAAAGTGAATTACACTGATTACATACTTTTTTCATTAATAAAATCCGAATTCATTAATAGTAATTTTGGCATTCCATGTATAATGCACTCATAAACACATACATTCATTATTCAAGCAATTACTTCATAAATACGAACAAATACCCAAATATAACCAATATAGATCATATGTATATAGTGGTCTTCTTATGTCAGAATAATAAAACAGAAACACAATTACATATCAAGTACAAAGTACTTGTATGTAAATGTAAATGAAAATATAAGTGTAGAAGAGAATTCCTTTCGTTTCTTTTTTTCTTCTACATCATATTACTATTAAGATTAATTCCTAACAACAATAATAACAGGATATTAAAATAAACATATTTGAAATACTAATCATACAGGTAATTTGATTTTTCTTGATAAAACCTTGTAAACACCGACACACACACACACACACAATAATAATCATAATTTAATTTACCATGAAATTATTTTTTTTTCCGAAAAAATAATAATTTTTTATTATTCATTATGTAATCAATGTTGACTTAATCGAATAAACTATTCCATAAATTATAATCACTATAATGAATTATGAATTAATTAAAACAACAATCATGTAACCATGTTAAAAATTTGAAGAAAACTAAATTAGTCATTAATTAGCAAAATTAACTTGCATATTTTAACCTTCAATGTTTATAAACATCTATAATTGATTTAAGTTTATCATAACAACAAGTTTATCATAACAACAATAAGATATGAGATACATTTGTATCAAGTCAAGTCGAGTCTAATTTCATAAATATTGACATAGCCGTCCAGTGCTTCCAGGTTTTCCATGGTGGTCTAGCTTCAATAGACTCATTATTTCAACTATGAAAATACTGAAATCTCCACAAAACACTTTCTGATCGATAGCTAGAAAAAATTAACACAGCAAGTAGGAAACCTAGAACTAAACTGTTAATAATAATAATGGTATTCAAAGAATAAACATGAAAACAACTCAAAATAAGAATAACACTAAGTCAGTAACCTGATCAGCCAAAAACAATGGAGAACCTAGTTAATATGTGTATCGATTAAAGTCACCATAGGAATAACGCTAAAGAATGAGAAATATACAATAATTGTATGTTAAAGATTCGAGAAGAATATGGAGAATCAATGAATTAGTACAAATATCACTGAGACTGATTCTGACCATTGCTATATAACATCTCTATTAGTGAGAATTATGTAAAACTCATCAGTCAGACGGTTAAATATGAAAGTGTAACATTAAAATTTAAAACTAATCTTATCGATAGGTGATGAAGAAGATTCTGTGGAAAACAATCTACAATTAGCAAATTTATTTAGTTAGTTAAATTTTTCCTGATTAATCCATAAAAACAAATTCGATCACAATATTAAGAAAACTGGTCAATTTATCTTTAGTCAACAATATATATTCTAACTTATTCTTGATATTTTCAACTCATTCTTTCTCACTTTATTTGATATTGTTACTAAAAGTAGTAGACTGTTCAAAGGTGTACACAGAATATTTCACTGGTTGAAAATTTAATGAAAAAAATTTTATAGTTGAAGTCATGAGTTAATTGAAGCTAGAATACCATGGAAAACATGAAAGCACTGGACGACCGTTTCATCCTATTGTGAGACTCCTCATTGGTCTAGAGGTTAAGCGCCCGCGCGCGAGACTGATAGGTCCTGGGTTCGAATCTCGTGAGGCAGGATCATGGATGCACTTTAATTGACTGATGATTTTAACTATAAAATTACTAAAATCTCCTCAAAACCCCCTTCTGAAAAAATGTTGTCCATTACATATTTATCTACCTATAGCACTGAAATTACTAAACAGATCATAACACTAGCTATAAATAATCCTAGACGGAAATATCAAATTAATGGATATCAAGGACAAATCATTTTGAAAAATACATACATTATATCAACATTATGACACAAATACTATAGAAACTTCCACAGAAATCATATCGTTTAAACATTCTTTTACCAAGAAAACTTATTATTACTGAATAAAATAAACTACTGAAAATCATTACTAGTATTATCTTTATTATTATTACTATTATTATTACTTCAAAACAGTAATATATCCTAATGTTTACTCATGGTTTCAACACGAAGTACATAATAGGTAGTGAATAAATTACTGAATAGTAAATATATGGATTTCTGAAGTGTATAAAAATGTCTAATCGTTTTACATATTATGACATTCCATCTTAGTCTATAACTATGTATCAATCAAAATAGATTTATTTACATATCACTTCAGACTACTTGATTAAATACAAAATGTAGAATGAGTTAACATGAGTAAAACTAGTTATATAACACGATAATGATCTGTGTATCACAATAATAGAATATTAGCAAACAAGAAATTAACTCACTTTTCAATGCTATTTGAAATGGTTTACTTATAATTGAACCAAAATCAGTACTGGCCAAACAATAAAACTTTTCACCTGTAAACAATTCAACACTAGTAGCATTTGAAAAACAAAGACAATTCTCTGATTTTAATGTTTTATTGTTATTTTTATCATTGGACAAATGAAGATCACAAGTAAAATCAGAAGGCACATGATAGATAGTTCTCTGATGAGCAATCATATGTGTTATTGTTGTGAATGATTGATTAGAAGTATTATCAAATGAATAATGAAAATGATACGTTGAATAATAGGTTAAACGGCCTATAGGCCATTTTGGCCAAATATCACAACAGATCTTCAAAGTTTTGTTGATAGGATTATTATTTGTCGTATAATAAACAACTGATTGAGGAACCGATTGGAATTCAGGTAAAACTGTGTTAAAATGAAAAAGTGAAAATAATCCATTAACTAAGAATTTTGAAAAGAATAGATCAACAAACTACACAAAAATGTTGTATTAAACGGTTGTTTGATAACAATATCCGAAATAATGAAACTTTACTTGATGTATGCACTGGTAATGCTATTATGATAGAATAAAACCATACGTCACAAAAAAGCACAACAGCATTAAAGTTCGATAATAGGTTTCGTCAAGAATTGCTAATACTACAATTTTATCCGACAAGACACTTTCAAGTATGTTTATTTCATGGTATTTCATTTATTAATTAGTGAAATATGAGAGAAAATAGTCAAAGGTAGTGGTAGTAATAACTACTCTAACCCCCATTTAATTACAAATCAACTGTGACAAACATTTTGAGTTATCATTGACATTATGAAACTTAACGTAAACCGCTCAAAGTTGAACTAGAAATGTTCACAAATAATTAATAATTATCACCTTACTATATAGTAAAACCAATCGATTTATGTTGTTAAGGTAAACATATGCATACGTCCATATGATATCATAAGTGAAGAATTTAACCAAGCAGTGAGTCAGATATAAGAGAGCGTATGCGAAGGAGAAACAGAAAGAAAACAGATAAGCATAATAAAATGGTAATTCAGAAGAAAAAAAGGCAGTTATGGCTGTCATTGGTTAGTATATTATTATCACTAATAATAATAAAAGTAATAATAACTATTATTATAATTATTATTATAGTAATTGAAACAAAGGCATATCTACATCCCACAGAAGTACATTTATTAACAAATAAGCTGTAAATTATAGAAAGCGTTACGGGAATTTATGAATACAGACAGACAAAAACACAAAAACGTAAATACAGACATAAAAACGTCCTAGAGTATATATATATATATATATATATAGAGAGAGAGAGAGAGAAAAAAAAGATAAATAAGAAGAGAATGAGAGTGAGAGAGAAACTACTGAAAAGGAAAAATACGAAAAGTTGAAAAACAAAATCGACCGGAATTTCTCCCATTTTGTTTTTCTTTGGTGAACAATCAGTAGAATATATAAATTTATGTTAATCATGACGCTAGGAAATGTTTAAAAAAGTGAAATTTACAAGTGAAACCAATTTACAGCTATCATAATTATCGTTTTATATAAATTTAATTAAATTAACTCAATAAGTCATTGAATATAGCGAAGAAATTTTCCTTTCAGACGAAATCATTTACTTAATCTGTATGGTAAGTATATGTCTATAGAAAGATAGAAAGTTATGACATCTTAATTTGTATCGTGATATGTTAACTATTGTTGGAAAATACCAAAACTAAAATACTACGAACAATCAGTCAGTTACAACTTGGGACCAGGCACAAATATGCATTCGTCCAAGTTGATATAGTTCATTAGAATAACGACATGAACACCAAATTCACAGAAGCAGTTACATTAGTGGTAGTAAAAACAAGATTTCATACCCCTCCTTGTGGGAAGGCAGCATCTCTGTTATGCTGGTTGTCTGAAGGAAACACCTTACTGCCGTTACACCTCTGTACAGTCAGAAATACGACTTCGCATTCGGACATTGGGTTTGCTGCTTTTAGTCTAACCGCTCTTCAACTAACCTGTCTGGCATGGTAGGACCTTGAGGAACGATTGTTCCAGCCAGTATGGCTCGATTGGTTCATCACGTTAGACAAGCCCGACTACCATGTCAAGGTAGCAGCAACGGTCGGGATCAAAGTCAGTATCTTCAATACGAACGTCAAGAAAGTTCTATTGTACGGAACTAAAACGTTGAGAACTACTACAACCACCATCAAAAAGTTATCAGTATTTATAACCATTTCTCTACGTAAGATACTCAAAGTCCGTTGATTGGATACCATCAGCAACAGCCTACTGTGGGAGAGAACCAACGAGCTTCCACCTGAAGAAATTAGGAAGACATGATGGAAATGGGTAGTACATCCATTGAAATAACCTTCAAACCGCATCATCAAACAAGCGACAACTTGGAATCCTGAAGGCAAGCGGAAAAGAGAAAGGCCAAAGAACACACTGTGTTGAGAATCGGAAGCATATATAAAAGGATGAATAGCAAACGGAATGAACTGGGAAGGATTGCTCAGGACAGATTTGGATGGAGAATGCTGGTAGACGATCTATGCTCCTCAACGAGGGGTACCAGGCGTAAGTAAGTAAGTACTTGGTGTAGGATCACCTCGTAATAAGATAATTAAAATTTGGGCGATCTGGGCACATTTGAGCTTTAATCTCTGATCACTGTAAGCCGTTCGTTTTTTGATATAAGAAAGCGTCAAAATAATCCTGTTTTAACCATAGAGGGAATAGTTTAACTAATATAGCATCTAAAATACTAGCCTCAATAATTATCGGACGCCTAACAAATATTCGTGAACTGCAGACACGAGCAAATGAGACTGGCTTCAGACCTGTTCGTGGCTGCATCGGCCACATATTCACCACTCGACAGATTTTAGAACACAAGCATGCTTGTCAGCATTCGAAAACAATAGTTTTTCTTGACTTAAAAGCAGCATTTGACTCTGTAGACCGAGAGGTTCTGTGGCAGTGTCTGTCATTGAAAGGTGTACCTCAGAAGTACATAAACCTTGTGAAGGCTCTTTACTCGAACACTATCAGTCGAGTGAGAGCTTATGGCGAACTGTCATATGATTTTACAACCTCAAGTGGTGTCCGTCAACGCTGTCCACTATCCCCATTTTCGTTTAACTTCATTATAGACCTGTTGCTGGAAATAACACTCCAGTCGACTGAATTTTCAGGAATTGATCTTCTACCAGGAGGTTCACTTATCGACTTAGAATACGCAGACGACATAGTCCTGTTTGGTGAAGACGCTGACAAAATGCAGTCTTCTGTTAGAACTGAGTAATAATGCCAGGATGTTTGGGATGCGTTTCTCCCCATCCAAATGTAAATTGTTACTCCAGGACTGGCCTGCGTCAATACCTGAACTAAGGATAGGGAGTGAAATAGTCGAACGCATCGAAAACTTCACTTATCTTGGAAGTCTGATCGGCCCTAATCAGTTGGTGTCTGACGAAATCTCAGCACGGATTCAAAAAGTTCATTTGGCTTTTGCCAACTTACGTCACCTATGGCGAAAACGAGATATCCGTCTATCAATTAAGGAACGAGTATACTGCACAGCAGTTCATTCTCTTCTACTTTACGGCTGCGAAACATGGCCATTAAGAGTAGAAGATACTCGTAGGTTACTAGTATTTGACCACAGATGCCTTAGAAATATTGCTCGCATCTGCTGGGATCACCGGGTAAGTAATAGTGAGGTTAGACGCAGGGTATTAGGGAATGATGGTAAACCAGTTGATGAGGTCATGAATCTTCATCGACTGAGATGGTTGGGCCACGTGTTACGTATGCCTGAACACCGATTACCCTGACGCGGTATGCTGACTAGTTCTGGAAACGGATGGAATGAAGTTGAGGGCGACCAAACCAGGAGGTAACATCAATCCATCAAGTCACTAACTTGTGGTATTGGTCATGTTGATAGAAACGGAGTCCATGGTTGGAGTCTCTGGGCGACATGGTTGAGAATCGATTACAATAGCGTAGGTGAATAAACTCTTTGTCTTCCCTGAAACTGACTAATATTGGTGATGGTTGGAAGAGAGTAAGGGGAGGCCAAACCAAAACGTGGCATCAGTGCTTGAAATCACTAACTCCTGGTTTGAGCCATGTTGGTAGATTCAGACTACTTGGTTGGGGTCCGCGTGACTATCGTAACCAATGGCTGGAGAGTGGGTGACATGGCTGAGAATCGATTACAATAGCGTAGGTGTATACACTCTTTTTCTTCCCTTAAACCGTGAGATTAAAATTGCTTCATATCTGTCTTCCTGTACTAGATCCTTATATACAATATTTATTTTATATATTATCACCAATAAATTAACTACTTCTATGAATTTGGTGGCCCCCAAATGTCCTGGTACGGTCGAGAGTGGGGAGAGCCCACTCTCCCTCTCAAAATGCTCTCACACGGCGACGCGTTTATAGCCTCTGCTAGGGAAGTCTTAATCACTGCCTTCTCGTGGCGCGAATGTCGTTCACGAAATTGAGAGGACGAAAAGCGAATGTCCGGTGCTTTAACCGGGTTAGTGGACACGGAGGGTCCACCTAAGGGAGTTGGAAAACCCTGATTCCAAAACAATGGTGCACATGGGCTCCAGTATCCTGAGGGAACAAATGGCGATGCTCCACTGCCTCGTGGATCAGACCTGTAGGTCAAAGGCTCCGGGTGTGGCCCCCTGAGAAAACTACCTTCTTCAGTTTGGGCACCTGGGCAGTATCGCAGCCCTCACACAAATCAAACGAGATTTGTGCGGAGCATATATATCTGGTGCCTTCTAGTACCAATATTTATGTGTTTAAATAAATAAATGAATTTGGTGTTTATATTGTTGTGCTAATGAGGTATGGCAACTTTGACCAATGCATATATATGTCTGGTCCTACGTTGTAGCTGACTGACTGACTCTGAGTTTGGTATAGGTTGACAGTTGTTTTGAGTTCCATCTGTTCTTCAACTGTGAGAATGTGGCCCTTGCTTTGCCAATCCTTGCCGTTACGTCTGCATCAGATCCTTCACGTCCATTGATGATGTTGACCAGGTATGTGAACGTTTCCACCTCTTCCAGAGCTTCTCCATCAAGTGTAACCGAGTTGGTGTTCTCCGTGTTGAATTTGAGAACCTTTTACACTTTACCATGAGGGAGGGATATTTCGGTAAATTGAGGTTTATGAATATACAATTCTATAGATAAATTTTAGACTAGTCTCATTGTAAGTCTATATTGACTGGAAGAAAAATGACCAGAAATTATGGAAAAATGTAGTTAAGTTAGGCCATGGAATTTCTTTTAGAATTATTTATTGATAGCTGTTCAAGAGATTCAACCCAAAGACTCTTAGGACTTACGGACTTGAACAATGACTTCCTTAAAAGCAATCAGTAGTTTAATATTATGAATCAGAACATATATAGGTAAAAGATTATTTTCAATTAGATTATGTCTCTCAAATATGAGAGAAGCGATAGGGATTCAAACTAACAATACAATGCTTTATGCTACTTGGTCGAATCGGCATTAACGAACGATTTCCTATGCTGTTTATCTATCTATTTTCCTTCACCCACTTTTTAAATATACGCTTTACTGCCTAGTTATTTGAACAATTATAATTACGCAATTTTAATTTTCAAGTACTCTATTTCAGCGTCTACATTTTTAAGTCACTAATCTACTTCCTATCATGAAATATTGATTCTAGCTTTTACTATTTTTATCGTAACTACTACAATTGTCATCACTATTAACTTGTACTTTTTACTTATTATTTATTTATGTAATCTATTCTACTGTTATCACAGACACATAAATATTACTGCATATTAGAGTAAACCCTGTTGAGGACCTAACTGAAAAAGTATTGTTCGCTTAGATATGTTGTTCTGGTTCACAAAATAGAAATTTCTAGTATCTTAAAGTTTGTTAATATACCATAAAGAGCTATTTCAAGATATAGTTACTACTTAAAATTCTGAAGCGGTCTCATCGGTGTATAAAACATTTGACTACTGTCCAGTGGGTTTCAGATTTAAACTAATTTTAGATGAGTAGCTAAATAGTATCACTAGTCCTCATCCAAAGAGTAGTTCGAAGCCAAGTATACAAATTTGTACCTAGCTACTGAGTTTGAATACTCGTAGCGATAAATTAACATTGTGAAAAATAAACTACAAAATATTAAGTGGTCTTAGAGAGAACTATGGTACCCTAAAAACAAACCAAAATTGGACGAAATGGTTAGAATTTAGTAAAAGTTGGCTGTTATTAACAAACACTGATAGCATCAACTACATTCCATGGTCTTAATTAAGTGACGGTTCAGTAATCACAACACAACTTTTAACCAGTAGGTAGCATGTGGGAATCTAGCTTTACCTACTTCCGTGTTGAACAGCTGGATGGTATTGCTAGCTCCAAAGTTTAGTTCAAAATTAAGTAGATGAAACTTTTTTGACAAATAAAGAATTTGGAATCATCACTTTATTAAGTTATTCACATAAATCTGAGCAAATGTGAGAATTACAGAGGCATCATAATACTGTCAGTACCTGGAAAATTTTCAACAGTGTTTCTCAACCGGATGAAAGACGCAGTAGGCGACCAACTTCGAGGTCAACAGGCAAGATTTCGTAAGGATCGGTCGTGCAAAGATCAAATTGCAACACTACGGATCATCATCGAGCAGTCAGTTGAATGAAACTCGCTACTACACATCAATTTCATTGGCTGTGAGAAGGCATGTGACGGCGTGGACGGAAGAACATTATGGAAACCTCTTCGACACTATGAAGTTCCTGAAAAGATTATCAACATTATCCAGAACTCATACGGCGGAAAAGTGGAAGGCCGAAGAAGGTAGACAGGAAAATGATCAATAGCAACTAAAAAGGATTGCCCAGGACATGATTGAATGGAGATTGCTGGTGGGCGGCCTGTGCTTCTCCACAAGGAGTGACAGGCGTAAGTAAGTAATTAGTTGAATACCGACAATTTCTTGCATTCTTATTCATTTAACTCCGAGAGAAAAAGATCATTTATACCCCTATGTAATTACCATTGGCATATAATATGACAAATAGATTTGGTTTTATATGAGTTTAATTTAAACCGTTAGTTTCATTCATGTTAGTTACTGACGGAAACTATTTTGAAATAAATTAGACAATGAGTTCAATGATAATTTGACTGTGACATTTCGACATTGAAAATGAACAAGTTGCAGTTTTTGTATTGAAAAGTAGGCAATTGAAATGAGGAACAAAATAATGACCAACTGAAACGACTAAATGATGCAATATGGTTTAAACCCAACAACCTATTTAATCCACTTACAGTTCGTACAGTTAACGATGCTTAAAAAGACAGAACGACTCTTCGTATAATCATAATTATACCGTCCAGTCTGATTAAACAAATCTCTTTTATGAGTACACGGTATAAAATTCAATAAATATTACTTGAAATTACAACACAAAACTTATTGGAATCAAATAATATCCAAAGGTCATCTAACATCCAAAGAATTTACGACTTTCGGCAAATAGAACAAATTTAGTTTTGCTCCGATGGAACTTACTAATTACGACTAGAAGTAACACCATAAATCTGACTAAAACTACCTAATACAGACTTCTTGATTAAACTTTCAAGGAAAAATAAGATTAACCCTCCTAAGGAGGTGACCCTTTAAGAAAACCAACCGCTACGGTTTGAGCGCCCCATCAGTATTCGATCCCTAACACAAATCGAGTGACAAAGTGTGGCGCATATATATTTGGTGTCACTGTACCAATATTTGCGTTTATATAAGTAGATAAGAAACTAACTTACCAAAAGTTTCGCACACACTCGAAGACAAAATCATAATCCAAAAGCCAATCATAGAAATGTAGGGGACATTCTGAGCAGTAGCAGTGACGGCCATAATACCTAACCTTTAGACAATTAAAAAGGCAGGAAAGAAAGTATACTTTATTAATTGTAAAAACTGAAACTACAATACATATATGACAAATAGGTTTGTTTGATTGAGATAGTGAAATCTAATCTCAAGTGTGTTGGCTAAAGCTTCCCTCTAGAACAAGGCAGGTGAAACAACCAAAACATGACAAACTTTTCTATGAAAATAATCTGGTAAGCAAACGCTTTTCGTTTTATGAACCTACGTCTATCCAAGTACTTATAAAACCAACCTGAACATGTGGATTGATTACATTACACTCTAACAGTTCAGTTCACTAGTAGTTTAACCGACTGAACCAATATCTACAGTAGTTAATTACTTTATGGTGCACCAGGATTGCGAAATTCCACTTTTTACAGTTGTTTTTTTTAGGATAACGAAGAGAAAGTGATGTACTCTAAATTGTGAAATTATCTTCAAATGAAATACAATCTACGACACCGGCTAGATTTATATTTCTATTTAAACATCTACAAGTATTATAACGCCATTTCGAGTTTGTGAAACTGCCATTGTACCAAAACACACATACAGATCTGTGGATACTACAGGACGGTTTGAGACAAAGTAGCTTCCAGATAATACAATCTATTTAAACGATCCAAAAGCTGCTTCATTGCCTGCACCAGGTACGAAGCACTCGAAAGAAGTTATAATAATTGTATAAACAGTCGAAATCTGCCACCAATGTGCGTATGACCAACTTCAGTTGGTCAATTAATTAAATTTCATCAACTGACATAACTCACTTCATTTTCTTTGACTACTTACCAGATGAAAATACTTATGGATGAACGTTAAAGCCAGTAAAAAGTTGACCGGTCGTTACAAGATCATGTTGAGAAACCATACAACCCCACCCCACATTTTCACGACAAGTCAAAACGACGCATCTGAACAATAACGCTTAAAGCATGCGCCCACTATAACCTTGCACACTAGTAACTCAAACGTTGGTTAAAAAGCTGCCGAACTGTTTGCTCCATGAAATATATATTCGAGTACTGAAAGTTTGTTTTTGGTCACAAAAAGCCACAGTTGTTTTTATGTTTTTTCTTGATATTATAGGTGAATTAGGTAAGCTACTTGTAGTTGTAGTGATCGCTGAGTAGTACTTAAAGGAACTACCTCTACAACCTAACGAATATAAGAAAACATTCAGACTTCCATCATAAAACTTTAAAGAATGTCTCGAAATTATTTCCACTGGTAAAAGGGTCCAACAGTTTTGGGATTATGACCACATGTAGGGGTAAATAAATCCCCGAAATCAATAGCTCTGTTAATCTACAACATCTGATACTGACCTCACTAGTCTTACTGATGTAAGGCCAGAGAAGTGTCACTAATCCCCATATAGATCATCCGGCAGTTGGGTCACCGAATATTCAACAGATCTCCGATCCCTGTCAAAGTCAAGAACAACAGACGCGCATCAGTTACTCTTACACCATGGATTGGCCCATGCGTCGGTGGTCACACCAACTTCTCTATACTCATTCCTACTAATATATTTACTTAGTGACGTCCTTTGTGTTATACCGCCTTCAAAGCAGAAATCGTACTTTAATACGTTGAAGGGATAATCCAAGTTAGATACTCACCGCGAGGTGTGACTTCGAAGTTAGCTGATCCATCACATCATCCCCGTCTAACTCAAGTAGGCCCTAAATCATTCGACATAGATCATCTAATTAAGTGTTCTGTACTTTACTCACCTAGCTGAAGGCGCTCGGTCACACATCCGCACCAGATCAAGAGTGGGTATAAGGTGCTACCAACTGCTAGACAGCTTAGACCAAACGTTCTTTCGACATACCGACAGCCTTTCAAATACATCTTCGAACTTCTTCATTCTTACTCTTCTGTACACTATATTGCCTTGCCATTAATATTATTTCACCACTCGTTATCTTACCTTATCTGCAACTAATATACATCTACACTTTTCCGCCTACTTTGGTAAGCAACTAACCTACATTATACCCTTCTTAATGCCTATACTCTGATTGGCAACCTATACTTCACACTATAGTCAATTAAAGCATTTCATCGAAGCCTTATCCACAGTTCATAATTTGTAACTGTCTGGTAAGCTTGTGAAATGTTACTTATAGAAATAGTGTTTTCCAATAAAATGTGAAACAGAGCATTGTGTGAGGTATGACATATATCCCAAAAAAATAGGCTTAAATGATCCTAACATCACAAAAGGAGGGAAGATAGAAGTTGCTGACCAGCAAGCGTTGATAGTGAGGACGATAACTTCAATCCACCCATGTTTGTGGAGCAGAACATGTTGTTTGTATCAGCCTCTTTATGGGTGAGAACAAGTCAACAATCTGTGATATTGAGTTTGTCCTCATACACTAACCATTCAGACTGATGTTTCTAATTTTTATGTTGGATTAACTATTCTATTAAGACAACCTATAACACGCTAACTCGGACTTTTACATGAAAACTGTGTGGTAGGCATCGGATGATGAAAAAACCAACTATAAAGGATATGGTTGTGATTTTACTTAACACTCTACTCTCTATATTCACTCTCTGCTCTAATAAACAGCCTTCCTCATTCCAATCTTGTCTTCCCTTCCTTCATTTGAACCTAATTCACCTTGATAAATATCACAACCCATTCTTCTTTATTACTGCATTCTCTCACCTGGAGCCCCTGATTACATCTCACTCCAGCAACATAAGCTAGTATCAATTTAATCTAATAATTTATCATACCTCCGTCTGTTCCACTACTAAACGTTAAGCATTGTTTATCGTTCATATCCAAATGCCTTGCTGCTCCTCGGTTTCTGTTTTTTTCTTCAGAATCTTGCTCCGAGGGTGAAGCTAGGTAACTTTTGACATCTGGAACAAGCTCGACGAATGCGCTTTCCCAAGGTCATAGTTCGCACCAGGCGCTAAAATTCCCGAGCACTAACTTCGAGATCCTTCTTTGTTGGGTCTCACCTCCAACCCGTTTACCAAGTCTGACTGCTTTCGTGATATGTACCCCTGAAACCTCTCCAAGCAGTACATCCCACTAACTGCAAGTCATATGCGTGTCTTTTAGCAGTGTCATTTTATTTCGACTCCTCTAGATTCCAAATAATTAAACTAAGAACGTGTTTAACTTGTTTAAAAGTCGTGTTCTTGGCTATTGACCGTGATGCGAGATCCTGCCTGTTAACTGCTGGTATCTTACCTTTAGCCTTCCTTGTAACAGTGTCGTGTCAGTAGAGCAAATGACTCACAACAATGTTTGATAGGGCCGAACTTATCGCTTCTACGATAGAGCTAAATATTGTCTCCCTTACGGACTTTAGCGGAGTAATCTGACACGCAGGATGAGAGTCCAACAAGGAATTTTCAACTAAACATGCGTTTTCTTTGGCTATCTTTTCTTCTCTTCTATTTTTCCGCGTCATTGGTTTCTCATCAGTCGCACCATCCAGATTAGAAGTACTTCGGACGATAATGTTTCTACCCGGATCATCAGTCGCTGCTGCAGCAACTTAGCCACCAATATCTAATGGTGTATTGCCCAATAATTGTTTAGGGGTAGAAAGCTCTATTTCATGTTGTACAGTTGGGGGTCTGGCTCGTTCTGTGACAGCTCTTACGACGCTGTTACATTCTTCATTATCATTACCCATGTAAACGGTACAGTCCTCGTCAACCTTTTTGTTAGCTAATGCCAGAAGGCTAATTGCTCTTTGAATGAGTAATTTTTTGCTCAAACAACAAAACTTACAGAGCCAATGAGAATTAGGCTTTGAGCACCTTTTATAGGCAGCGGGACTTAAGCGGGTTCACATTTTATGGAACTACTTCTTAGACTCATCACATTGCACTCCTTCCACAGGGAATAAGCAATGTGGCTGTCCACACTTGTAAGCAGAGCCGACCATCTTCAAAAATTGACTAAAATAGTAGACAAAATGGATGTGTAAGACAAATATCAAATATTGATCAAATAAATCAAGCCAGAGTCGATCGAGAATACTTTAATGTAGCAAATACTCAAAAGCAAGATCAAAACACACAAATATAATACCGCCCTAACTAAAATAAATTCAATTAAAGTGTGAACAGTAGTTTCGATGAGTAATTTAAGATAAAACTGTAGATTTAACTCAACGAGAATCAATACTACTGTCCTTTATAAGTAGTGCGCGTGTTAATTTGTCTTTTCTTGGTGTTTTCGACTGATGCTTCTATTCATATCAGGATCTCTTATTGTTATTTTTTCAATTTACTCTCCTTTGTTATACTTTGTAAACTGAAAATACAGAAGAATCAGAAGAGGTGAAGTATTCTGTAAATGAGCCGATGTACGTTTGAACCAATAAAGTCATAGATGCTGTGATTAATAGCGAATAGTATGTGATAAATGTTAAATCATATACAAATCAGAGTACCATTGAAAACCATGTAGAAAAACACAACTTCATCATATTATAGGTGATGTCAACTCATGATAAAAGTTGTGGATCCGAGCAAATTTGCACTAACCGATTGATGAACCGGTAACTGTTTTTTCACTAACATTTCCGAGACAACTTTCCTGAAGTTGGCAACCGAAGTGAACTGCAAACGTAAACATTACTCAATTAGACGAAAATAAATCAAACATTGTTGAGAACTGAATATACAATCAGGTTAGATTATTACGTTGAATAACAGTAAATCTTAAATCTGTAGATTATTTGGTGAATATGAAACTGTAAATGCAACTTGGAACTATGTTATATAATGTATGATGAGAGCCTAATGTATAATTTATTGGATGGTGTTAAATTGGTCGATAGACTGACAGTTTGTCCGACATGGAAAACAAGGATAAAAGTACGAATACATTCAGTTTACATGCCTCAAATAGATAGAAGTGCAACAAGCTCAGAATCTTAGTAGAAACTCGAAAAAATCGAAATGAGATTATATGATAATTAGAAGTATTTGAATTGTAGTATAAACTAGTAATCCCAGGAATAACGCAATTTATTCAAGAAGTACAAGAGGAGCACAAACGAATGTATTGTATTTGGAATTCAAAATTACAACAGTCATCAATACAAACAAGTCATTGATTTATTTAAACATCACACCCGCCACAGCTCGAATTGAAGTGTAAGTGTCTGTCATCGATTGTTTGTTTACTTCTTAAGTTCATCTTACATCTGTCCGATGGTGTATTGAATGTACACTCTGTATTATCTAGAATGCACTCATTAGTATTAGAATTAACAACGGAAATTGGAACAGACTCACCTGGGTTCTAGAATTGTATACAATCAGCATGTCGGTTGTGTAGTGAAACCATTGATATTTAGAATTTGCATCATATACTTTCCAACAATATCCTCCCCCACGAAATAATCTTGGGTCCTTACTTCGCAATGTTTTAGCCAATATAACATTTCCAACTTGCAGTATCTTCTCAAATCTCACGCATCGACTACTGTATGTGAGTATTTGGAGATAAACACTGATATATAATTTGAGGTATTCCATCATGTGACTTTGACTTGAATAAAAATTATGATACATATTCTTTTTGTTATTCATATTAGAATACACAAATGGATATGCATTGATATATGTAATTAACACATGTGATTCAACTAGCCTTGATTTACCTGCGAAACAATCGAATAGAAAACATTCATCTGCCTCATATTCATTAGGATAATCTTGGACTTGATTTGGATTCCCTACCTGTGTAAACTTCACTTCTGGGCAAACTGCTTCTCTGATTATTTCGGTAAATTTTCCTATCCCCTCTGATTCATCATACCCCTGACTAGGGATTCTATTCAACATACATTGTTCGTAAGAGTATCCAACATCTGGCACAATAACATCAGAAACATGACTAGAATTCAACTCATTCGGAACATATTTTTCACATTCATTAGGAATATCATTAGAGATAAATTGATTGTGAGGACCACTGACACTT